TCACACTGGGCCTGGTTCTGGTGGAGGTTTCTAACAGTTCAAAGCGAGTTTTTCCTCTCCACTGTCGCTACAAGCATGCTTAGTGTGAGGGATTGCTGAAGAGTCAATGAGTCGATGCAATCAGCTGGTTTGAGATGACATGTGTTGTGAAAACAAATTTGATGAAGCTTAACACACCTTGCTGAAGGCCAGAGTCGTCTGCTGGCTGAGAGGAAGTGGGAACGGAGTTATTGCTGGGAGACTCCTCAGAGAGCGGGGAGGACAGGGAGCCAACGGGGCTGCCGGGAGAAGGCCTGATTTCAGCCGTCTTGGTTGTAGCTGTGATGGGGAGATGGGGCATCCGCAACGTGACAGGAGCTGCATGTTCAACAAGGCCGTCTGTGGGGGGGAGGATCTTTCCATGCAGAGATACGGAACGTTCCTCTGCAAGAATAATCATTCTAGGTTTAGATCAGACTCTGAGCAAGTTGAATCTAAGATCAAATGGGAGATTTAGGTACCTGTAGCAGCAGCAGGCCCAGGCTCCAGTCCAGGGTGCATCGGGGCCGGGTCCACTTCTATCGGCTCCTCCCGCTCGATGCTCTGGAACAAAGGCTAGGTTAGTGGCGATCTCCGGTACTACTGCCCTCTAGAGGGAAACAAGCAATCCAACATGGCGGCGCCCCTAGCATTCAGGAAGTTTGCGAGAGTCAGGTGAAGAAGGCAGCCTTTGGTGAATTTACTCAACAGAGTCGGCTTTTGGGAAGTGGATACGACAAACGATAGTCTGATCAGGGCTTCCAGACGCAGGAAACAACAACAGACATTGAGGATCATCACACTGCTAAGCAGAATCATCACTGGAAATCGTGTCACACAGTAGGGAAGCTAGGATTTTTATGAATGTCGGAAATTATGTGATTACGGAGGCTGATTGTAAGGGATGACACGGTCTGCTCATGTGCTCTTTGTTATCTGAGAATCGAGCGAGAACTGAACCGTGTCGAGCCCTACTGATGAACTAGTACCAGTTCAGCGCAGTTCGGTTGTGTCTGGCACAGTCCGGTACAGTTCTGCATGCCATTTACACTCAACAGTTATCTTGGTTACCGTGATCAGACCGATCTTGGCACGATTTCAAAAGGGTAGTGGAAATGGGGCTTTAAGCAGCTGTTCATTGCATTAAAGTTGTTCAACATATGCATTTCCTGATTCTCCCGAGTGGTGCTCGACTTTACATGAGGGAACAAAGTGAATGCGATTGGTCGATTATCAAGGTGGCGGAAGGTTTGCAACAAGTTTGGTTGTTGCCAGTTTGTCGGAAGCATCTTGCTAACCAGTTAGCATCTTAGTGCTAGCAGGTTCCCAATGGGAAATTCCATTGG